TAAAGATGACATTTTGTGTAGTGCTATCAGATCCTATCTGCTTAGGGTCGGGTGATACTTTCATTTCCTCTAACATTTGACTGGATTTTTCGTTTCCACACATATCAATCCGATTCTAGACGGATAAAATTAACAAATTGACTGATATGAAAAATGGAAAACTGACTTGATGAATGGAAACATCAAAGTGTATGAAATCGGTTTTGTAAGCATGCTAATGTCAGTGAAGTGCTGCACAAAAACCTCTGACAAGATAGAAGGATAAAATAAACTAACCTGTAAGTCGCATGATACATAGTACCAAGGGTTGTTTGACTGGTAAAGGTGTTCGTTGGCGTGAGAGTGTATTCCGAGTAGCAGAGTCCTTTATTTTACAATTCAAAGTTGTGATAGTCAGCTTCAGATGAGGGTTGGACTACTTATTCGTAAAACATAATGCATACGTTTGTAGAAGTTGATACCAATGGTGATAGTTCATCTGGGATAGATGAAATGGGATAGCTTGCAATCGTATCGCTATCTAATCGTGATTTGGTAAATGGCCACATATTGGTCACATCAGAGAAGGTAATCTGATATATCGCCTTTACTTTGATTGTTAGGAACAGATGCGCAATTAAACTGAACTATGCAGCTGATTCGATTGATGATGACTTATCCCTTCCTTCCTGCTCTTTATAGTGCTCCTCAGACTTCTTCTTCACCTTTCAAGCTTTTTGTGAAGAGTACAGATATAATTTTTCATTTCCTCGACTTCGTCATGCAATTACTAATCTTGCCGCGCTCTCCTGATTTGAGACATTCTCAACACCACACATACCACGGTTGCAAATTTCTTCTACATTTAATTTGCCCAGTTTTGCACGCCGACATATCCCTAGAACTTTTCGCACGGCAAGTGGCAGATATCGAATCCAGAAAGAGGCCCCCTCGGACTGAAGTCTCCAACCGGGGGTCTTTCCGCGGCCTCGGGAACGAGCATAATTCACATTGCTCTTCGTCTCCGCGCATTAACGGATCTTCGAGTAGGGCCGCGCATCAGCTCGTTGATGAAAAGGTGACCAGAACGAAAAATTCCAATAGGGGTCCTCAAGTTCAGAAAATTCGAACACGGTCCAAGTGTAAATGGAACAGCTATCTGAGCGAGCATACCTGTTCGATATCTGAGCAAGGAGGCACGCGTGTTCTGTTTGTTTTGTGCATAGGGCATGTTTGTTTCGTGCATGGAACACATCCTCAGACACCGACGTGAGAACAAAAAGCACATGTCTGGAGACTGAGCAGGACTTGGATATGGGTTTAGAGAAGGCAGTTTCCTCCTTCTCTCCATCCGTGAGACAAAATCGCAAGTTGTCCGGTTCAACAGGCGATTTCCGTTTTCATCCTTACCATCAACACAACCCATCTGCCCTCGAAAGACAGAGTCAAATCTTTGGGTCAACACTATTCACCTAATCACTGTTTTTTTGTGGTGGTGATAATAATGAGAAAGACGCGAAAACGGAAAAGAGAGAAAGGATAAAGATTGGATGTGAGCAAGCAGGCGGAGTTTACAAAGGCTACCACATATCCGATGTTTGTTGAGATCATGGGTTAAGGAAAATTATCTTGTCTTGGGCCTTCTGTTCGTTTAAGCGTAGACCTCTGATTGTTACCTGTTCACAGAGGCTTTGAGCCACTGTTTGAATTCAATGAAATAAATTAACAATTCGAACACGGTCCAAGTGTAATTCGAACACGATTTTTCTCAACTTGAGGACCCCTAATGTATCTCGTGGAGAGCGAGTTCTCGGAGGGAGGAATATCCTTATAACCTGGTTGATTGTTTTTGATATCAGAGCTCAATTGGGCAGCCAGCCGCCTTTTGAGACCTTACCATAACCTAGACAATATCCATCGGGTCACCCAAAACCTGAATGTTCTGAATCTCGGTGATATTTAAATATTCTATCTAAGATATATCCAGCATTACACCCTATCAAGGGGATTGAAATCAACATCTTGGATTTTCGCTTGGGTAGCACAGCTGTGAATTGATTTCAATCCAAGGAACAGTCGAAGTGTTTGATCAAAGCAACGCAGAAAGCCTTGTGCCCCTCGACGCTCTCGCGGGCTGGTAAGAAGCCTTTTTGTCATCGGACGGTGGGACTATGTAGAGCTGGTGGTGGGGTGACCAAACCATTGATCAAGTGTTTCGGTCTGTTTCAGTACATGGCAGGTTGAAAATATTGAAACGAGACGCTCCTGAGTCCTTGGGGCCGAGACTCAACTGCTCGGCTTGATTCATCGATTCGGAGCGGTCCTACTGCCCCTTACAACATCGATAAGGAAAGGTCTACGGTTTCTGCGTCATTTCGACCTAGACTTCGGACTAATTAAAATCTGAACGTATGGAAATTAGAAATGACGAATCGATGAAAGACTTACAGTACGAAAGTAAAACTGCCAAGGGCAACGGAAAACCCGAGCTAAGAAATGCCCAACCGAGGGTTTGATGGATGACGTTGGATGGGTAGATTAAATCAACTATAGGGGGGTTTTCTCCAAAGTTACCATGATGAAACACGTTTAGAAAGGTAATCAAGATGTATGATGATTTGTTGATGATGATGAGGAGGAGGAGACTTATGAAACGAGCTTGAAACAGCATTGAAACTGAGTTTGAATGGAACTCCGATACGGTTGTAAACTTCAAACTTTTCATTCAACTTGAAATGATGGCAAAGATACATACAAGCTTGAGGTACCCACTCCATCCAAGGTATGAAAGATATGGATAATTTTATATTGAGCCATTTCCAAAACCTGGATTTCAACCATATGAAACCAAATTTCAAGGAAAGTACGCATAGACCTTGTTCATGGATATCATCAGGACTTTCGGTCATAGAGCGAGAAGTGATTGAAAGAGATTGGTTTCAGAGATTTTACCATCGATTTTAAGCCGTCATCAGATCATCAACACAATTGAGATCATATAATACTAAACTGTGAAGTCAAACTGTTATGTATACGAGATTGTTTTGATGAGATAGACTCTAAAGTTTTAGATTCAAAAGTTAGAGCTTAGACGGCCTGAAGAAGGAGAACTACGACCACGAAAAAATTGGCCGAAGTGAATGAAGATGAGAAGGCGTTAGTGAAATTTTAACGTGTAAAGAATTTTGTACGAAAGGTACCGAAAACACAATTGATTTTTAATGTCGGTTGAAGCCGAAAAGTGTAAAAGGCAGGCAGGAAAAGAAGCAGTGTTGTAGTGTTTCTATTAAAATTGAGCCAAGAAGTCATAACTATTTTCACCTCTAAAGGTCAATCCAAAGTATGATGAGTTCATAATCCCTTCAATTCAACTAGATATTCTGCTTAGTGATACTATATCATTAGCTTGTGTTTTTTTATGTTGAGGAAAAGAGAAGCCAAGTGATTGAGTAGTTGAACCTCAAACTTGTCAAACCAATTCCTAATCCATTTCTTTTAGGTAAATCACCTGTTCGTCTTCTCGTTTGATTTACTTAAAACTTCATTTTTTTCAATTCCGCATCAATCTGTACCATCGACCCATTCTCACACAAGAGGTGTTTGAAAAGCTCCCTGTTGTAGATTTCTCATTCCATTTGTCAAAGAAACATTACAACTTATCAAAAATTATCCTTATCACTCTTTCTTTACATAACTGATCTCTGTCTCCTTCTCTCTATATCATCATTTCTCTCTGTGTTTCATCTTCTCAAGTCTTCGATGAGTCATTCCCCTGAAGTTTTACTTACCCCAGCTTCTGTCCAAGTGATCCAAGCTTTCGGTTTTTTACCTGCTTCCTCGATCCCCTTTTGCATTTATTTCTCCACTTAAACTTCAAAACTCACTTCCGATTACCACATAGTCAAAGTAAAAAGAATCAAAACCAAAGAATATTCAGCTTCATTTATAGTTTGATCTTTTTACTTTTATTCTTTGCAGTTTCTTAAAATCCAATCTTTACTTTCTATCTTTTCGATTGGCTTTATTCAACAACCTAGCTTGGTCCTAGTTGCCTTCACAAAACATTCACATACTTGTTCCCATCCTTTTGTGTAGATAACCTTACTTTCATAAGCTTGAAGCCTTCTTTCTTTTTTCACTCTGATTCAACTCA